ACACCCACACCCACACCCCACCTACATCCACACCCACACCCACACCCACACCTCACACCCACACTCTCTCCCCTTGGAATACCTACTTAAGTCACACAGAATTATGAATCATTGGAATAGTTTTATTAAAAGAAAACTTGATAAGAAGCGTCGTCGCATAAAAAAAAATTACCAAGCAGAATAATAATCATAAGTCATCAATAAGAATATCAAGGAAATTTCTACTATTAACATAATATTCTACCATAGAATAGACTGAATAGTTATCATTTTACCTTGTTTTTCATTTTTTTACTCATTAAATAAGTAACAATGACGTGAGTCATCTTTGCTTTTTTTTTCTATGCGTCAAATAGAAAGATAGAGTCTTGACATTGTTAAAAATTGTTTTCATCGACTCGAGAGCAGACAGAAAAACAAATTCAAATCACGAAGAAAAAAACTAAAATTCTTTCTTTTCTTGGTATTCTGCATCCAATCGAAAAAAAAACAGTAAATAAGTATTGTTTTATGATTTTGTGTTACAAAATGAATCATACTTGTTTTTATTCTATTGGAAAAATCGAACACTTTCAACCTATATTTAAGAGAGACAAAATAATTTCTTCAAAAGTCATTAGAGTGATACATTTTGCTTGAATTCGACGGCATTCCTTATTTGATTTTAAAAGTAATTATTAAATGCTTAACCTTATATACTTACTAACTTTGGTGTCTTAAAAGTATTCTGTAGCTAATAATATGATTTATGTTATTAAATACACAAGGTAACTATTAGCATCGGCTGAGTACAGATCAAAATATTAGCTTCATGTCATTAATTTTTGTAGTATTCAAAGGAAAGGTCTATTCAACTACTGTTTCTTTTGCTCTATACTTTGATGACATAACATTTATTTCTTTTCACTCAGAAAATTTCTATAAAGCAAATGATATTTAATACCATATTTTATAAAATGACTTATCAACGATGCCAATACATTGATCGTATTTATCACATTCCAATATCGACTATCGGCGGTCAAGGGTTTGTTCTATTCGAAAAAATACAACATTCTATCGATTCAGGTATAAAATATTTTACCCACAATGGTTTACTGATACCATTCGAATGTGATGGACAAGGTAATAAACTAAAACCATATCGTATTCGAGCTGTCATTTCTGATGTAATTTACTGTTATAAACGACTACAATCTGAACCATATAATAATGCTATGATACAAATGCTTCGACATATTCATAGAGATGTACCCATAATTCGTGAAAAGGGTGTGGGTGTGGGTGGGTGTGGGTGTGGGTGTG